CAAGCTTTAAAGGAGAAAATGATGCGGTTTTTGACACTGCAAAAAAAACAGAGTTTTGTTGAAATTTCGATGTTTTTTTAAAAGCGAATTTTGCGAAAAAACTGCGTTTTTTGGTCCCAATAGTCAAACAAGTTTTTTTCGTAATTTCTGTGTTTTTTAACAGATTTTAATTATTTTAATACTTTTTTTTTAGAGTTCTTAAAATAAATTTTTAATGAATCTTCCTTGTCTTGACCGATTTTCATGTTCAAAAAAGGGAGTTTTTTGGAGATTTTCAATTAAGTCAACGATTTTGGCTCCGGTTTAAAAGAACGGCTTTTGCGTAAATTTCGATATTTTTCATCAGATTTCGATTTAGGCGTAGAACAGAAAATTTGGGTTTTTTGACAAATTTTTGATTCTCAAGCGATTTTTCTTTGTAACTTTGGCGTTTTTTAACCGATTTTAATTTCTAAAAATGTCCATTTTAGGGAATCATTAAATTTTCTTGGAAATGACAGAAAAAAAATTTATGTATTTTGTTTTTATAGGGATGTTTTTGAATCAAGCTTTAAAGGAGAAAATGATGCGGTTTTTGACACTGCAAAAACAGATTTTTGTTGAAATTTTTTTCGAATAACTTCCGTGTGTTTAAAGATTTTCATGTTCGAAAAAGCGAATTAGAAGAAGTTTAATTAATCGTATTTTTTGTAAAATTTTTAATTTTCATTTTCAGGTAAATTTTTGGGCATTTTTTATTGTTTTTTCCCACTTCAATTGGACCAAATTTGTTTCATTAAAAAATTATTGGATTTTGACCAACTTTTAGGTTTTTTAGGCATTTTGACAAATGCGAACATTAGAGAAAATCATCAAAATTGCTTTGGAATTAACAAAAAAAACACAAATTTAGAAAATTATTTTGCCTTTTTTTTGACTTTCGGACGATTTTTTAGAGGTTGTTAAGACAACGATTTTGGATCAGGTTTAACATGAGGATTTTTGCGGAAATTTCGATATTTTTCGAAAATCTGCGTTTGTAGACATATTTTTGATTTTTAAGCAATTTTTCTTCGTAACTTTTACTTTATTTAAAAAAAGCAATTTTTTCAGCTGCTCGCCTTTTAAAATTTTGATAACAAACTGAAAAATCATTAAAATTTTTAGGAATAAACAGGATTTTTGTTACAGCTGTTTTGACCAAATTTTTTTCATTAAAAAATTATTGGATTTTGACCAACTTTTAGGATTTTTAGGCATTTTGACAAATGCGAACATTAGAGAAAATCATCAAA